AACTTAAGATTAAAATTAATTAAATAATTAACGTCATCATAAATCTAATTCACAAAATGTTTTTTATTTTTATGTGGTTACAATTGTTACGTATTTGTATTATAATTTTCGTGAGGCATACTAAATAAATTACTATGTTTTCGGCTCAGTAGCGCGACAGTCGCCGCGTCGCGGATCGCGAAATGCTGCTCATGAATATGAACCTCTAGCATGGCTTGAAACTAGTCAAGTTGCTCGTCAAATAATGACGTGAGTAAGCCGAAAACATAATAATTTGTTACGTATTTTTTTGTTCATATTACCCAGTAAAGATGAGATTATACACGTGGACTTTTACATAACTATAAGTATAACATTCTATTTTATCTGTTTTGTTCTATTTTATTCTTCTTATTTGTTGTATTTTTTCTACAAACCTATGTAAAACAGCAAAGCAAAGACAAAGCTCTGTCAACCACGTACTAAGACTTAATTGAGATGACACTCACTTGAATCACAATTTATTTTTGTATTGTTTTGAGCAACAATGGTTCTAAACAGTATAGGTTAGTTATAATATATGACTGATATAGTTAGATTAGACTACATGAATAAATACAAAACATTCTCACACATAACGTAGACCAAACAAGATATATTTTGAAACAACTACCCCAGACAAAGCCATGGTACCACAACAAGTCTCAAATAATACATTCAAAGGTAGCACTCAGTAATAAAACATATAAGACACTTGAGGAATTTCCAATTCCCCTGTAGATGCTAACACTCAATAAGTATTTGCATACCTAGGTTTGCACCCGACCTGTATAAATGGTGTCTGGTTCACTTTCAACCAGGTTTCAGTTATTCTTCTCAGCGTCTCCCACTAGCTGAGCTAGACACAATTGTGAATAGAAGAATGTGGCTTTGTCGTTGGACATAAATTTTATTAGATGGGCAGGACTTCTTAGTAAGTTATCGTTATTTGTATGTAGCAGTTGTATGTTTTGTAGAGATACCGTAATCAATTTATTTGTCACGAAAATGGTTTTTCACTTATGTCATCAAAAATTTTGGAAATTCAAGAAAATATCAATTTTGCACCAGCAATAAAAGCTGTTTTTTTCTGTTTCTTAGTGTATTTTTTTTATTTGAGAGAACTTGTTCCTATTCGGCTGCAGAAAGAAAACAAAAGAAAGTCAATAATATAAAAAATAACAACAAAAAAGAGCGATATATCACCTTATCGATGAAATTATCTAAATAAATATACATAAATTTGATTTCTTTATAGGTAATACAGCTACTTAAGACTGAATTAATGTTGAATTATGATAATATAACGAATGCGAATTTTATCTACAAACCTAAATTATTACGTTGACAACAATATTACATATCCCTTTTGTTCTTCCCCGTAGGTACAATGCAATTTTACATTTACTTTGAGACTATTTTGAAATCAGGGTAAAAGTAAAAATAAAACATTTGTTCAACTATGACAACTGGTTGATTGAAGAATAGACCTTACTTTAATATCATATTAAATCAGTTCATAACATAACATAACATCACGCCTTTTATCCCCGAAGGGGTAGACTGAGGTGAACATTACGGCACTTAATGCCGCTGTACAATG